TTTCCTAAGCTGGGCACAACCAAAACAATTGGAGTTTAGGAGTCCAAAATGTCTCATAGGTATTCTTCTAATTGACTTGAAGAAAACCACAAAAATGAATCGGGAGTGTTTTTTTTTTTTTTTTAATTTCACACAATGCCTGTATTTTTATAGTCGTTATATTGTCTTCACGCATGAATTAGGAAATTCCTTCTCATAAGTGTATTATCTAACATATCTAAAGTTCTATCTATTACTTATGTTTGATATGTGCAATTTGGAAAAACACATGAGGAATGGAATAAATTAGGCCATAAATAGATCATCATGCAAGGGGACGATGATACTGCTTTGATAAGAAAAATGTCAGGAGTCAACACAAATCAGATTAGCAACTCAACATTCTGTTTGTTTTATTTGTGTTGTGTGTATTTTTTTTCCCTTTTCATTCTTTGAATTCTTCAAAGATTGAGAATGAGATGATTGATTCCTATCTTTGTTATTTTTATAATATGCCACAAATTTTATTTAGAAGTTGGTGATGAGTGACCCATTTTTTTAGGTCAAAGTATTCTAAATATGTGCTCATTACGGATGAGGTTAATGGAAAGTTAGCTGGTGATAGGGATGATGTTGCTGAACTTATTGCTAAATATCTATTTATTAATAACAATTGTGTTTATCATTTTTAAGTAGGTAGTAATATCAGCTTCAATAATTTATTAATAACAAAATGGCCTTTAAGATGTGCTGATGTTTAGATTTCCTAGTTATGGGTAATATTCTGAGGACTTGTGATTTTTTTCAAAAATACTTTTTTCCATCTCACTGAACCCTTTTGACTGAGCTTTTTATATCGATTTGTGTGTGTGTGTAAATTTTCATTGTGCCATGTTGATGGAGGTGCAAACAAGGTAGTTAAAATCGAGATTCTAAGTAGGATCAGAGAGGAGATGAAAAATCGTAACTCGTAGGATCGTAACACGAATCGGAAGATCCTACAAAATTGTATAAATACATGTAAAATAGTATAAATATAAAGACCAGAGGACAAATGAGAGAAGTGAGCCATCCCACCTCAAAATAGAGATACTAAGAACAGAAACAAAGAGGGAAAAGATAGATTAAGTATTGTATTCTGATAAAAGACTATTTTATCTTTAAAGAAACTTAAAACAGAGCACATTAAGGGTAAAAAGGGAAAGTCAAATTATTTTTAAATGATGAGAAGTCTTGTTTTTACCCTTAAAAAATCCTAAAATCTACTTCATAAATCCTAAACCCTAAAGACTATTTTATCCTTAAAGAAACTTAAAACAAAGCCACTTTAAGGATAAAAAAGGAAAGTCAAATTATTTTTAAATGATGAGAAGTCTTATTTTTACCCTTAGAAAACCCTAAACTCTAAATAACTTTTACTCTAGCCACACTGTGAATTAGGCTACGTTGGAGCTGAGATGGCCACCACAGCAAAACGCTCCGCTATGACAAGGTCGCCGGCGCAGAGCAGAGTTGCTGACATAGACAAGGTCGCCAGAGCAGACATAATCATCAGAGCGAAAGCTATAGAGATAGCAGAACAGAGGAATGAAGTTGCAAAGTCCTGGTCGCGTCCAAAAATGGTGGAGAAAGAGGCGATTTTGGAATGAACAGATTCGTTGTGTTGAGGAAGAAGAGAAGTGCACTTCGCGAGTTGCAAAGAGGCAAGAAATCAGAGAGAGGAGTGAAAAAAAAACCCTAAAAATAGGACAAAAATAACTCGCCCAGGATCGCAGATTCCACGATTTCATGAGGAAGATCGTGCGATCCCAGAGATCCCACCAAAACGAGTTCCAGCCCAGAATCAGGATCGTTGGACCTGCAGCAGATCGTAAAATCGTACGATTGTTAACTCGCGATTTATTTTACGTGTTAACTCGCGATTTTGACTACCATGGGTGCAACATTGTTGTCTTATGTAAGTGTATTTAGTACTTAGATTAGAAGGTGATTAATGGAAGATTGTTTGTAAAGAGCTTAAACAAGTAATTTCTGGCTGGAAATATTTGAAGCATGTTGGAAAGGAAAGATTGATAATGTGAGAAGTCATGTTTGCTTTCCTATCTCTTGACTATCCTAATAGTTATTTGGTCTTTGGAACTATTTGAGAAGGAACTGTTATGAATGCGGTATTGAACTTTTCTTGAGCGTTACTACATTGTATTGTAAATTGTTTTTCATTTTATTCTTTTGGTTGTATTGCAGTTCCTTGTTAATATTATTCTCACATTGTGCTATATTGGATTTTATACTGAATGACTTTGTGTAATTGATTTGGAAATGATGGCTTTTGTTTACTTATTACTATTTGTCTCTTTCTTAATGATGATTTGATTTGCTTAGGTATTTATATTACATGTCTAATTTGCATTTTTTATGTGTTTCAATGTAAACTAGGAGAACAGAAATGCGTTATTATGCAGTTCCATTTCTTTAAATATGAATAATACTAAGTGAACTAATTATAGGAACTTTCCTTGTGAACATTGCTCAATACGCCACTGTAGGAACTAAATATGCAATAATTGTCTTGACTTTTTATTTTTACAGTATAACTTGTGTAGTTATTCTTCTTTTTAAAGTATAATACTATGTGTACTGAACAAATCAAAATAACGTGTTCTTGCAGTTGATCAGACTGTTCGTATTGATCATAAAAATATGAACAAATTCTAACTTTTTATCCATAGTTGTTTCATTTCATGTGTGTGGCAAATGTTAGATATTTAGATTAGATAGCGATGCGGTGCTTACCTAGTTGGTTTTTTCACGCTTACAAACAGATGTTGGATCTAAATTTAGCATTTGGTTATAAAAGAACCATTCTCAAGGCTGCATGTGACCTACTTACGGTAGTATGAGATATTTGGCATTTAATCATTATCTGTAATCTTTAAAGAGGTGCAATAATACTGCTACGATAGATTCAGATTTAAGATCAAACATAATGTTGCTACTAGAACCTTTTTAGTGCTTCCCCCTAAAAAAGTTAATCTTATATAAGAATAAAATCAGTTTTGAATAAAATTGGACATAAAACTAATTTTGATTAAATCTAAATTTTAAAACTAGTTTTAAACCAATTTTAAAAAAATAAAATAAATTAGTTTAAAATCAAATTCATATAATTAGATTTAAAATGAATTTAAATTGATTTTGTCCAAATTCAATCTATACACACCTCTTACTATTCGTAGAGTTCTTGATGGCTTATTAATGGGGCGAAGAACCTTTAGAATGCATTTCTTTTATGTTTAAATGGACTAGAGCTTCATAACTACCTTTGCCTCATTCAATTTTGGTAAGGTGCTTTAAAAAATAAATTAGAGAGTACGAAACATGGCCATTTGACAATAGACTTAGCTTCATAATAAATGCTTTAATGCTCCTCCTTTTTTTATGGTCTTCTAAATTTTCATAATTTGATTCTCGAAATGCACTCGATCATCTTCGCGTCAAACTCGTCAAAGCAATATTTAAACTAAAATAAATAGATAATATGCACGATAAATTCAACCTAAAATGTATCATTTTGAATGATTATGTAAAGTTAAACTATAAATATATGCATGATATGCACTTATCAAAGACCCTTTACAAAATTTTAAGAGAAATTATTATTATTTTTACATATTTTTCATTCATTATTAAACCTTTCTATAACTTCTTAACAATAAATATAATATAATAATAGTTTGACTTTAATTAGAGAAAAATTTGAGATGTTGTAATTAATTATTCAAACGCTAGTATATTAATTAATTCCTATAACTTTTTTTAATCTATCTAATTTAGTTAAAATGATGTTATAAAAAAGATGGGAGAGAATAATATTTTTCGGCAATCCTCAACAAGTCGTATCGTCTCAGCATCTTTCTAGAATGGGCTAGCATCTTAATTTGAAGGTTAATAATTTCACTTGGAGGTAATATTAGAGCGCATTCCTTCAAAGATCAACTTGGCAAGGAGGAACATTCTTCAACAAGATCAATTGTCTATCGACTATAGATTGGAGGACAAAAGTGCAACAACACATATCACCTTTAAATGCAGGGTATATCGAAAACTATGGATGGACTATTTTACAGTTCTACTTTCATACAGCAAGGCAATGAGACACTTTGGCAAATAATACGGTGCTCGTCATTTGGGCCATCCCGTATATCAAGAAATAAGGTAATTTTAAAATCAAAATTAGATATGAAGCCTTTGATTTCATCACATCAAGCTCTTGGCTATGGTTGAAAGAAAAGTTGTCAAGTTTCAGTTATCCTTATCGTAATTGGCTTTACAATCGTTTGCTCTGTTTGGGTCATAATAGACATTATGAGGCAGGTTTAATTGTATGTGCAACAAGGGAAGGTTGTGGAGCATATATACTTGATAAAAGATTTTGCATGATGGAATTGTAAATCTCATGTGAGTTTGTCTAAATTATTACATAGGGTAAATAATCCTATGTTAAATGAACTATTAAAATTCAGATATTTTATTAATAAAATCTTACTAATTCTGTTAAAGTGTGATTATTTGTTTCTTATAATGGCAAACAAATCCATTTCATGCATGATATGGGTTTGAGTATGTATCTCTTTACTTGACATTTGAATAAAATTCCCTTTATGGTAAAAAGAAATAATGACCAAAAGGGGAATGATGTATATAAGATCCAAAAGGTGAATGTGATTTTGGATTGAAAGAACAAATCAAATTCTTAGAGAAGTTAAAGTTTGACATTGGTTGATTACAATAGAATCATGCCATATACCTTCTAGGTACACATGATGACCAACTACACTAACAATTACAATAATTAATTAAAAGAAAGAAATGAACTGGAAAGACTGGTAACTAAAAGGCTGTTCCCACGTTCCTTATTATTAATGCAGCTAGCTAAGTACGTACAAATAACGCAGTAAGAGATAAAAAGGGAAATGGTGTTCACTTATGCTTCTAGAGTCTGGAACAGTAATAATCCATCTTTAGCAGAATGTTTGTTGAACTTGCTGAGCAAGTTCTTCGGCACTGAGTTGGCATTCAATTCCAATCTATGAAAAAGAGATTTAAGAATCAATAGTTATTAATTGACCAAAACACAAGTTATTAATGGACCACAATTGACCACGTAAATAACATACTCAATCGACTATATTCCATGAAATAAATAATTTCTGAAAACGATATATATATAGCTATGTTAAAAATTACAGCTTATAATATATATACATTTCACCAAATGAAGACAATGCCTGCGAGATGCCACGATACATCCCTGGCGTCTCAGACATATGCAGTGAGAAAGGCACTGAGTGTACTGCATGTCATTGTTTATTACACGTCGCACTAGTGGTGTACTTCACTGTAGAGCACTGGCAAATTGTTTTTACCAGTATTATTATTTCATTCAATAACCATTATATCATCAATGTCATTATTTTAATTTTAGTTTTATAATTTGAACAATTAAAAATTAATAGCACATATATATATATATTGTTTGATATATATGTGTGTGCACCTCAAAATTATTCATCAACACATTTTTATTTTTATTTTTCCATAGGTGGTAGGTTATTATGCTTGCTACTTATGTGGAAAACTTTCATGACGTAGACTTTATGGAGCAACGGCAGTTAAATCACTCAGACAGTGAAATCCAAGCCTGTCCTCACTATAAGAACTTAAATTTCAAATGGTCCAAGATGAGGGTTTAGGGAACAAAAAAAGTTAAATCACTGTGACACTGAAATTCAGACCTATCCTCAATATTGCTGAAAAGGACTTCTTAAGAAAAAGACAGGAACATATAATGACATTGAACCGATAATCTCCAACAAAAATTACTAACAAACTAGCTCCTAGCTGGCATTCAAAGATAGCAACATTTTGGACACATTTAAGAAATAAAATAAATAATAATTTATGCATGTGGATGGAACACATAGACAAGATTTGAGTACCAATCCTTCTACAATTATTTTTATTTATTTTATTTTATTTTATTGCACCATATATTATATTTTTTATTTGTATCTCCCTCTTCGCTTCACCGGTTTAACATTCATTTAATCAGTGTCAAAGGATTTTTTTTTACTCAGTCCTTTAACTTTTTTATAAGATATACTTAATACATTTTTGGTATATTTTATTTTTCAAAAATAGTGATACCTAGACATGCAATAGTCAAATATATTCAATGCTTTAAGCATTTACCTTATAAATTTCTTGTTAGTATAAGGATTAATGAAAGAGTAAGATTAGGCAATATGTATGCATGTTCTACACCCCATAGTTACCTTAATAGTGAACGAGTTAAGCATGGTTTCATCAGCCGTGCTAATGTTCACATGGAGGATTTCAAGCGCTAGGTCTTCAAGTGCTGATATTATTCTCAGAGCCTGCCCTGGAATTCGTGGTGACACAGTCTTCAAAAGAACGTGTGGACCTGAAAACTTGACCTCAACATCAGCGATAACGGACTTGGAATTGGCAACAAGCTCGTTGATATTATCGTTGATGGAAGAAGAAGCGGAAGAAGTAGGAGAGTGGGATATGGTAGGGGAAAGGTACCCTTGCTGCAACCTGGGCTTGTAAGGGCTACCTGGTTGTGGAGTTCTTGGACTAATGGGCAGGCTTATTCTAGGGCTCAAGGGTGGTTTTCTAGGACTTAGTGGTGAAGGCCTTGGACTTGAAACTAGCCTAGGGCTTAGTACATCACTGTAAACTTTTCTATGTTTTTTGGCCTCTAGGCATTGTAGCACTTGCTGCAACTCATTGATGTAATCAACAACACCTCCAATTATTGATGCTTGGTCTCCCTATACCATATAGTTGAAATACGTTAGTACCATTACATAAAATCACAACATAAATAAGCCATGTTAGTTGGTATTCGCTGGATAGGGTAAGTATCTAAACATATTATACGCTTATCAGTGTTAGAAATGGGTACGACACAGATATTTTGTCATTTTTTTTGGGTTATCTGGACTTTAGTGCAAATTTCAAGAAAAAGGAAAACAAAAACTTGCTATTACTTTCTGGTACGTCTACTAGCTAGCCAATAGAAAAGCCTTTTTTTATCTTTTATATTACAAGTAGACTCTTATAATCCGTTTAGAGATAATAAATTTACATGGTAAGCTAAGTTTTATTAAAATCCTCAACGTCGAGGATATTTGGGGAGTTAATAAACAAAGTTAAGGATGCAAAATAAGGTGCTAATTTAATTATAAGTAAAACTAATTTATGTATTTTCTTTATCTTTCTCATAGATATTTGTTGAAAATTTATATAATTAAATTAGCTTAAAATGAGGGAGCTATTTAGAATCTGAAAATGAGAGTAATGTTTAAGAATTAGCGAGATAATTAAACTTACTCGTTTGACATAAAAGGAAGGCATAAGAGACCTCAACACAGACAAATGTTCATTCATTTGCTTTCTTCGGTTGCGCTCCACAGTAATATGAGACGTCCTCTGCGGTTCCTCAGGCAAGGTAGGGGCAAATTTCTGTCTCTTACTTTTGGGTGAGATTTCGGGTTCAGTTTCAGAATCATGTGGAGCACATGAAGATGTTGTTGACTTTTGGGACACCAATCTTGAGTTTTGCTCATTTTGTTTTGAAGTTGGGCTAATAACAGCTTCAGAAGTGCGGTTGACGAGAGGAAAATCGTTAAAGTCTTCTTCTAGGCTCTCCAAAATGGCAAAGAGATCGTCTCCACCAAAGTGGGTATCCCCAAACTCTGTGTCTTTGAAAATGTCATCCATTGGAAGCTTCTGGGTTTCCATATTTCAAACTAAATAACAGATTGGGTTAAGAAAAAAGAGTGGGACAGAGAAGGGAAAATATTGAAGGTACAGTAGGTGTGGAGTGAGGAGGAAAAGTGAGAATGCAATAAGAAGAGTAAGGTTGTGATGGGAAAGAGACAAAGGCATGAGCATGTAGGTGTTACTGGTAGGGTGCTACAAGTGAGTGACGTTGAAAATATGGTTTTGCATAGGGTGAAAGAGGAGAGGGTGTGTTGTCTAAGGCAGTGCAGTGGTGGGTGCACTGAATCTCAAGATGGCAGAGGCAGAGCAGAAAAGCAGTATCAGACCAAAACAGTTTTCGAAACTTAAATATTAAAATAAATATGGAGAGCCGTTACAAGGAGAGATGCATGGGAGAAAATCAGGGTTTTATATAGTGGTAGTAACCAACGCAGGAAAAGATATGCTCGGATGCTTACACTATTTATCCAACAAATGAATATATATATATATATTATTTTTCTTATTATTCAAATAAATGAAAATATGATTCTTCTCCCGTGTTTTAAAATGCATATTCAAAATTATTATAATCATTTTATTAAATACTTACAATTATGATAAAAATATGTATTTTTTTATAATTTTAAGATAATATTTTTTTATTTTTAATAAAAACTTATTTTAACATTTTAACATATATCATCATTAGAAAGATATAAAAAATCAGTGAAAATATAAGAGAAAAAAGAATGGTGTTTAGATTTCACAATTTGAAAACAATTATTATTTTATATTCACATTTTCTTATATTAATTTATTGGCAAAAATAATATTTTAGTTCTTCAATTTTATTTATTATTTCAGTTTAGTACTTTAACTGTTTTTAATTTACTTTAATTCTCTAACTTTCAAAATTAAATTAAATAACCCATTTTTTACTAATTTACTTTTAAAGGTTTTAATAACGTTAAAGTTAAGAAATGAATTTAATCATACAAAATTAAAATATTTTTATTGGAATAAATATGTATTGTATTAAATTTATAAAATAATAATAATATTTTTTAATAAAATTTTATTATTATAAATTGTTTAAACTCAATTTTAAGAGTTGAGATTAAGATATTTTTTAACTTGTAATTACATCAAGTAAATACAAGGAAGAGGTGGAAGAAGAAATATAATAATAATAATAATTAAAATAAAAAATTAAAGATAATAATTAATAAATTTAATGTAATTAAAGAAAACTTATTGAATTAATACTTAAAAATTAGAAGAGTATAATAAAATAAAAAGATTAAAATCAAATAAAAAATTATAATTAGATGAGGTAAAATAAAATAAATACGATTATATAAATAAGGTAAAATAAAAAATAAAATAAAAAAAGGAATGATTGTAAAAGAAATTTTAAAAAACATAAGTTGTAGAAAAAAAAAATTGTAATTACATAAACAACAAAGGAGAGAGTGATCATGGATCGCTGTGCATCGGCATTAAAATTGTCATTCATAAATACTTCTGCTATCCTTCATTAATACTTGAGTGAAATATTTAAACTTATTTGAATTGTTCTGTCGTTAAATATTTAAACATGAGTGTACCTTAAAACTTGAAATACGACCAATTGGCCCAATCATAAATATTTTAGTTTTATGTTCATAATTCATTATGATTAAATAACTAAGTTCATTGGAAAACATTAAATGTTTTCAATATTTTAAAATATTAAATTCATGATCTATTAAGATTAAAAGATAATTAAATTATATATCAATCCTTCTACTTATTATTGTTGTTCGGGCGACATTAGCTGGATGATCCATATGCTATCTCATTTAGCTCCAGAAAGAATTGTAACATAGTAAAGATACCCATATTTGACAACACGGATCAAGGTAACTACAATTAGGCATGGAAACAGGTCAGGCCACCTGACAGGGCTTGTGACCTGACCAAGTTTAGGCCTGACCTGACTTTTTTAATAAACAAATCAGGTTCAGGCCTTTTTTAAGGCCTGTTTAAGTAAATAAGACAGGCCTAGATTATTTATAAAGCCTGTTAAGCCTGAAAGACCGGCCTATATAAATATAAATATATATATATATATATATATAATTATATATATATAATAATTTTAAAATAAATCTCTCAAAATATATTTAAATAATAAAGTTATTTAATAATATATTTTTTATATTCTTAATTCTATTATTATTAAATTAATATATTATGTTATAATTTTATTTATTTATAATTATAATAAATAAAAATTATATTCTATTAAAAATTAAAAATATTTATATATGATTACACTTTTTAAATAATAAATTTATTTAATAATAAATTATTATATTTAAACAATTTAAAAAATAGTTAAGTCTTTAAACAGGAATAAGACGTAATAAAAATTAAACAAAATAAAATAATAAAATATATTAACATATTTTTTATACTCTTAATTTTATTATTATTAATTATTTAATTGTTTAATTATTATATTAATATATTATGTTATAATTCTTTTTATTTATAATAAATAGAAATTGTTTAAATCTGAATTATATTTTATTTGAAAGTAAAAATTTATTAAAAAATGATAACAAAATAAAATAAAAAATTTATTATAATATATATATATATATAACCATACCATGTAGCAAATAATATAATTATAAATAAATTATATAATAATATATATTTTTGTAACTTGCACATGTTTTAATTAAATTATTAATCAATTTATCAATTTATATGTAATATATAAGTATGTGTTTTAATTTATTGTATCAGTAATATTTTTTATATTACATTAATATTATAGTGTAGTTAATTTTATATTTATTTATTAATTTAAAATAAAAAATTAATGAAACAAATAAAATTAAATATTTTGTAATTATTTTTTTAATTTAATAGTTATTATTGTTTTCATTTATATATATATAATACATTAAGTTTAAATTTTAATAATTCTTTCTATGTTCATATGTTATTTTTCTGCATCTATAAATTTTATAATATAAGTATTTATTATCTACAATTTTTATAATAACGATATTTATTTACTTTTTAAAATATAATAATTTTTTTAGCTGATTCAATAAATTTTGTAAGTGTTATTTTTTGTAATTATTTTTTTAATTTAATAGTTATTATTATTGTCATTATATATATATATTGCATAAGTTTAAATTTATTTTTTTTAAATATAATAATTTTATTTTAATTGATTCAACAAACTGTGTGAATGTTATTGTTTTTTATTAATTTTATGTATTTACTATAATTTTATTTGTTGAATATAAGATGTCTTTAAATAAACAAAATATGTTTCTAAAATAAAACTAAAATATTTACTATTTATATAATTTTAAAAAATAAATCAATAAAAATATAAATAAAAATTTTATTAACATAAAATATTTATAATTAATACTTAAATAATATTTTAAAAATTATTTATAAAATTATATAAATATTATTATAATTATTTAATAATTATTAAGAACATAGATAGAAGTTAGAAAAATGTATAAACTAATTTGATAATAAAATATTTATATTTTTATTAATATTAATTTATTTTTTGTAACAGGCTTTGTTAACAAGTTTCAGGCCAGGTCAAGCCACTTAAACAGGTCAGGTCAAGCCTAAAATAAAACTTTTAACAAGTAACAGGTTAGGCTCAGACCTAATAATTATGTTACAAGTCAAGCCTGTTTAGAGTAAAATCTGGCCTGACCTCACCTGTTTCCATCCCTAACTACAATAGCCACAATATTGTTACTATTTGATTTCAGTACGTATAATTTTAATTTTCTATTTTTATTTTAAATTATAAAAATACTATCTTATTTTTAGTTTTTTAATTTTAAATACTTATATAATAAATATTAAAATTATAAAAGTTACTTTTAATTTAAAAAATAAAATAAAATAAAAATATTTACTCAAATTAAATATATAGTACAATATTTAAACTTGTTGTGCAAAACAGTTAAGAAGTTTATTATTTTAATATGAATTAATTATATTTTTATTCTTCATTTTTAATTTACGTCTAATTTTAGTATTTTTAATTTTAATTGTTTGTATTTAATTTTTTTAAAACTTTTAATTATTCAAATTAAATTTTTCAGTCAAAAATTTTATTTAATAATTAATTAAAATTTAACAACATATATTATATAATTTATGTATATAAAAATTATATAAAATAATTAAATAAGAATAAAATAGTTTTTATTATATTTTATATTATTTATTTAAAATTTTTAGACATTTTTTTATTGATGCATGCAAATCAATATGTTATATATTTATTGTATTTTTTTATAATTATTAGATACAATTTTAGGATGAACTTTAAATAATTGGAAAAATAAAAAAGTAAATATGAATAATAAAAATTAGAAAAATTAAAATCACACATGAATTAAAATATGGGGAAAAAAAATAAAATTAAGACTTCCAATATTATTGCTTATTCAGAAGATTATGTTTTGCTATCCATTGTTTGATAATAGAGAAATTCTAAATCCTATTATTAATTATGTTTATAAATCTTATGTGTATAAAAGCAATGCATATCTTTTAAAATGAGAAAAAAAAATATAGGCCGAAATAATAGAATTTTTTTAATTTTTTTATAATATTAAAGTACACAGTGACACTGTAGAATGCTGATTAATTAATGTACGAACGCCTATTATTCTAATATTACGTTTTTTCACAAAATTATGCTGATTATTAGAGTGTACTGTGACACTATCTATTGTTTGATGACATTAGAGTGCACTGTGACTCTATGGAACACTGATTAGTTAATATACGGGAGAAAGTTAATTTCTCAAAGATACTTAATAAGTTTTGTTTTTTTAATGTTTGGCCTATCAAATTACTCTTTCAATCACAATATCTTCTTAACTTTTTATTACTACGTTATTTTTTTTCCACTTTAATTTTCTTACAGAAATACTAATATGGTGATTTTTTATTTTTTTATAAAGATTAAAGTTATCATAAAGTTA